AATTAAAATCCCGAAAATCCCCTGGATATGATCTCCTCACTTCACAAATCCTGAGACAACTTCCCAAAAAAGCAATTATATTCCTGACCTATCTATACAATTCCATCCTTCGTACAACTAACATTCCCTTGATGTGGAAAAACTCCATAATCTTGCTGTTCTCAAAACCAGGCAAACCTGTTAATAACACATCATCCTACAGACCGATGAGCTTACACCCTATCCTCTCAAAAATCTTTGAGAAAATGCTTCTCAAACGCATCCTACCCATACTCGAATCCCACAACATCCCTTCTCATCAATTTGGATTCCGCTCAAGATAATCCGCTGTCCAACAAGGCCTTCGTGTTGTGGACCATATATTCTCTGCACTTGAAAACAAGCAATATTGCACTGGTGCCTTTCTGATTGTAGCGCAAGCTTTCGACCGGGTGTGGCACGATGGTTTGCTTTTCAAGCTCAAAACCCATTTATCCCAATCCTTATACCTCCTCCCAATCCTTAGTCCTCAAATCCTATTTGTCAAATCGTTCCTTCCAAGTCCGTTGCAGCACCGAATTCTCCACTTATTATCCAGTTGAGGCTGGTGTTCCACAAGGCAGTGGGGTCCAGTTCTCTATATCCTCTTCACTGGCGATATCCCTTCAAATCCCGATACCTTCCTAGCTACATTTTCTGATGATACTAGCATTCTATCCTCCCACTCAGATCCTCAAATAGCATCTCAAAACCTACAATCTCACCTCTCCTTGATTGAGCAGTGGTGCAACAACTGGTGCATCAAAATCAATGAACCAAAATGCATACATATCACTTTCACCCTGCGACGCAGATTCTGTCCCACAATCCTTTTCAATTCAATACCACTTCCCTACTCAGATACAGTCCGTTACCTTGGCTTACTTCTAGACAAAAGACTAACTTGGAACCCACATACGAGACTTAAAAGACAAGAACTTAACCAATGATATGGCCAGCTATATAGACTACTAGAAGTAGGACATCTCATATTTCGATTGAAAATAAACTTTTAATCTACAAGACAATACTGAAACTTATTTGGACCTACAGACTTGAACTGTGGGAAACTGCTAAACATTCAAATATCAAACGCATCCAATCCTTCCAGTCCAAAGTATCAAAAGGATTAAAGTAATGTCACAAACAAGACCTTACACCGTGAACTTAACATCCCATTTTTTCTCGACATCATCCCATCTAGATTCTCAAACTTTCACCAGAATCTTATTCACCATCCGAATCCTCTAGCTCAATCCCTATCCAGTTCCCACCATCCCTACAATCCTCCTCGAAGGTTAAAACGGCAGTGGCCGCGAGATCTATTGTAAATATGCTTCTGGAGTCCTGGCAATGGCCAGCTTCTCCACTCAAGTCATGAGCATCTGTGGTAGTGCCCTCCTTCAGCCTCCACTGGCTTCTAATACGGCTGATGCGGCTGAGAAAGTGGCACTGGGATCTCCTGGAGTTCGCTCTGCCTTCCACATGTGGGGGAAAAATCCTGGCTCGGAGATTCCTGGGCGAATGTGTATATTGTATATAGATATGAATGTGTTTCGAAGTTTTTATTTTATTTTGTTTGTTTATTTGTTCTTATTGATTTTTTTTTATCAGTATTATTTATTTACTTTTTATATTTATAGTTATTTCTTTATTATTTGTATATACTGTATAAATGAGAATTTCTAGCCTTAATACTTATAGCCCTCCAACAGTGGCTGATTATATTATTATTTTTTTTGGAAACTGGATTATTTGTTTATTGATAAATATTACAATCTGTCTCAATAAAGGACATTTATAATAGAGTTCTGAGAGCAAATTCACACCATATTTACAAATTTAAAAAATAAAAAAAATAAGCTAATTTCAAATAATATAAAGCTATAAAAGGAAGTGAATATAAAATAGTGAAGGAAGAAAATATAAATAATAGTAATAATAGAATGAAAATAAATGAATAAAATAGAATTAAAATTATCTTAAAAAAAATAAAATAAAAAATAATGAAAATAAACATCTTAGATGCAGGCATACCTATTTACACTATTTACAGTCGGCCATGGAAACTCTGAACCATACTTATCCCCCCACATGTGGAGGGAAAGCGAGGCTTCAGGAGATCCCTGCGCTTCTTCCTCAACCATTTCACTGGTATTAAAAGCCAGCGGAGATTGAGTAAGGGCGCTACAACCACGGACACTCATGACTTGAGTGGAGAATCTGGTCATTGCCAGAACTCCAATATATACATGTTACAAAAAGTCAAGGGGCCACTGCCGTTTTAGCCTGCGAGGAGGATTGTAGGGATGAGTGGTGCTAGACAGGGATTGTGCTACGGGATTAGGATGATGGGTAAGGTTCTGATGAAATTTGGAGAATTTGTCTGGGATAAGATCAAGAATAAATGGAATATTAAGGTCATTATGCAGGGTTGTATTAGTGACATAGAAGGGAGCATCGACTATTGTACGGAGGACTTTGGACTGGAAGGATTGAATGCGTTTGATGTTAGAAAATTTGGTTGCCCCCCACAGTTACAGTTGTCCCCCGTAGTCTGTAGGTCCAGATGGGTTTTAGTATTGTCTTGTAGATCAGTAGTTTGTTTTGAATAGAAAGTTTAGATTTTCTATTAAGTAATCTGTATAGCTGGCCATAACGTCGGTTAAGTTCCTGTCTTTTCAGTCTAGTATGCGTGTTGGGGCCAGGGGTACTTCAAAATCGAAGTACAAATCTTTCCCCGGTGCGTTTCCTCAATGGTGGGGAAAATTCGAGTGAAATTAAAAACGTTGGGAAAGAAGAAGAAAAAAAATTAGTGAATAATGAGACCTGTAAAACATTAAAGAAAAACAAAACAAATGCATGCACAAGAGAATATTAAAAAATAGAAATACTTCAATAAGTAAAAAAAATGTAAAATAAAATTCCCGGTGAAGAGGACGCTCACTGTTGATATCAGCCAGCTCGCCGATTCTAAAAAGAAAACCGCTCAAGACGATGAAGGATTCACTGAAGTGTCCAAGAAAAAGGGCTTTCAGCCTCGACCTGCAGCAGGACCAGCCCCTACATCTACAGAAATGAAGAACCGAATAAAGAACTACCGCCGCCAATTGTAATTTCCCCACCCATATCACAGCGTTCCCTCAGGAACATGTTGAACGATGTGGGTGTCACAAATTTTATTACAAATTCATCTAAAAATTAAATTCATCTAAAAATTAAATTCATCTAAAAATTAAATTCATCTAAAAATTAAATTCATCTAAAAATTAAATTCATCTCTACATGGAGACAAACACAGACTACTATAAAGCCATCCAGGTGATGAGAGGACACGACAGTGTCCAGTTCCACTCATTCGCTCCCAGAGGCACTCCAAGGTCTAATAAATTCGTTCTATACGGATTTGATATAAACACAGAAATACAAGACATAACGGAGGAACTAAAAGAGCGTTTGCCAGGATTCAAGATGGCCTGGCAATTAACCAAACGCTTTGATGATGGAAAAATATACGCATCATGCTCATCACCGAGCACACCGTCAAATCAGAAGCCTTCAAAATCTGTGCTACACAAGATTCCTGGTAGCCAATTTCAAAGAGGATGGAGTACTCGCACAGTGCCGCAACTGCTTCCAGTATGGGCACGTTATGAAGTATTGTGGCCGTGCCTGTGCATGCCCTTGGTGTGGAGAAACGCACACCCTACACAGATGTCCCAAATCAAAAGACACAGACCCAAAGTGCCTCCTGTTTAATGGAAAACATCCCGCCTCATCGAAGGAATGTGTGGCGAGAAGAAACATAATTCAGAAGAGGAGGTAAGAAGTAGAAGCCCCGAAGAAGAAAAACAATAACCGAATGCTAAGCCGTTTAACTGAATCAGGACGTACTTACTCATCAGCAAGTGGAGGAGCTCCCGTTCAACCCCATCACCGGAGTCATCCCCACCACCGTAGCTATCCCCACCACCGGATACCACAGCCAGCACACCAAGAATAACCTTCATTACCAAAGAAGACTCCGAAAACTCAAGATCTCCAGCTCACCAACCACGTAATGCAGATGATGACGAGGATGGACAGCATGCTCACTATGGTTACCAAGCTGATCGACATTCTGATGAGTACCAATAAACATGATTGAGTATCTCGTACAACTACAACTACAACACCCAAAGGCTCTCCCAGAAGCAGGCTGAAATAGAACTCCTCCTGCAGCAGTACCGACCTACAGTTGTGCCGCTAACATACAGTATGCTATCCTCATCGTCTTGTCTATATTTCCACGGCTACACTATACGACGGGGTCTTTAGAAAGCGTTGCGATCCTGGTCAGAAGAGACGTACCATCGAGAATCATCCCGAACCCAGCGGCGAGTACGGAGGTAACTCGTCTAGTCACTGTTGACGTGCGATTGAAAAATCGATACACGTTCCCTTGTGTCTATAAGAGACCGAGGGTCATACTGACATCTGTAAAACCCATGCTGCAACACGCTCAGATGGTGAGGCGGCATGTTGTCCTTGGGGACTTCAATGCTTGACACACCGCTTGGCCGTATAGTAGTAACAACCCACTGGGTACGTGCGTCACTAAGACCAGATTGGCCGTCTTTCACTCCGGAGTACACACCTTCAGGCATCCAGCGCGGCCCGATTGCACTTCAACGCTTGGTCTGCTACTGACCAAAGAATTGTACACCATCACGGACTGCCAAGTGCTTCCATTTGGCCTGTCAGATCACAGGCCTGTTCTCTACACAATATAGATGCTCATAATTTATCTAAATCAAGAAACACGAGGCGACTGTTGTCTTTTATTGAATTATTTATGTTTCTCATATATGAGATCTACCTCTTTGGCCAATATTTTTTAATTTATCAGATAAAACTAGTGAAGGGGGTTTTCCCCAAGGAACAATGATGGATAGCAGTTCTGTCATTAATACACTATGAATACAAGAGTGTCATTTTAAATTATGCCTTTTTCGAAAAAAGATAAGGTTGATTATAAAGCTAGGTTGGAATATAAGCTTTATTTAGTCAGTACTATGCTTCTTAATATCCTTTTGTTTGATTATTTTTGTTAGTTTTCCTTATTTTTATGTTAACAATAATTTTAAGGCACGAGAAGACCCTGATGTAACATTTGATTTGTCTGACTGTGATTTAAAAAATGTGCCTAAAGGAATCTATTCAATCTGTAAAGTACTCAGAAAAGAAACTTTAATTTTGAAGGTTTTACATTTATATTTTAAATGTGGATATCTTATTTTACTTCTACTATTTTATGGATATGTATTTTTCCATGTAGAACAATAACTTGACTTCTTTATCTGGAGGAGGTAATTTAGGAGAATTGAACCTGCTAAAAACTCTTGATATTCGGTCAAACAATTTGTCCTTTCTCCCAGAAAGCATATCTTTTCTTGAAAACTTGAAGGTTTGCATTTTTTAAAAGATTTGTTATGAGAACTATAAATATGTATAATTTAATCTCTAATCTCTAAGGTTTCCCAATTTTAATTTCTTATTACAGTCACTTTTTTCTTTTCTTGTCTTTTTTATATGATTTCAGGAGTTGTATTTAAATAATAATCTTATCAAGTATTTGCCTGAAGGTATTCTCAAGCTAAAAAACCTCAGGATTTTAAGTGTGCCTTTCAATAAACTTAAGCGCTTACCATCAAATATTGAGGAACTCAATGTTTTAGAAGAATTATATCTTCAAGGAAATCCAGCTTTATGTATTTTACCCAATACGTTATCATTCTGTTCGCATTTATCAAAGCTTGTTCTTGATATTGGTAGATATACTCACCCGCCTGATGATGTTGTACATCAAGGGACTGTGGCAATTCTAACTTTCCTAGGTGCAAGTAAGTATTCCTGAACTAAATTTGTATTTAAATCTAGAGGTTTATTTTGTGCTTGTTTTAAAAACTAAGTATAAGCATATCTGGAAGATTTTAAAAAGTATTGTTCATAACTTATTAGTTTCGGTGTAATACCCAAGTTTTGCTCAATTTTGATGGAGATTTCTAAGTTTAAAAGGAATTCTGAGAATGACTGACTATTGACATGTTCAAGTGTATATTCTCCTTTATTTTTCTTGCAATCTATAACTTCCGCAAACTTCCAATTTGTTCTTTTCAGTTGAAATCGGGGCCATAAATTTATAACATTGCTGTTCTTGACTTCTGCTTGTTCACAACAGTTTTACAAACCGCTAGTGGCTCCTTTTCAGTTAAGGTTAGGCCATAACCAGGGTATTAGATCATCTCTTTTAACTCTCAGACTCACTCAGCCACGTTCTGCTTTTGGCAGGAAAGTCCCGATATTTAACAATTTGTCCCATGTCCCGCGACGTTTTGGAAAAGTCCCGATTTTCTGAAAGAACGCACGATAAACTAGGGGACAGTAGGAAAACGAGAAGAGAATATACAATATTCCATAGACACAAGGTTATTTCGCCAGGATACGAGTTTTAAATTATTTTTGTTAATTGTATAATTACTTACTTACTTACTATACAGCTCTACTGCCTGGGGTGGCCTTGGCTTCTTGGATTATTTCATGCCAATCATCTCTACTGCTCGCCCTTTCCTTCCAGTTTCTAACACCCAGTGTTTTAAAGTCGCTATCAATATCTTGTAGCCATCTTTTCTTTTTCTTTTTGTGCCATAATTGTAGAGAACAATGCCCTATAAGGCATCCTGCTGTTGTCCATTCTAACCATGTCGCCTAGCCATTCCATGCGCCTAGTTTTCACAAAATGAACTATGTTGCCGCTATTATATAGTTCATATAGCTCCAATTTTTTTCTATACCTCCCCACACCCTCTTCACAAACAGCTCCATAAATTCTTCTCAATATTTTTCTTTCAAAAATATCCAGCATACTAATTGTTCTTGTACAAATGGTCCATCTATCCACTGCATAAGTCATAATAGGTCTTACTAAACTACATGTTCCTACACCTACATGTGAAACTACATATTCCAATGCTCTGAGGACCAGTTATTGTCGGCCCTGACATATATATATATTTTGATTAATTTCCAGCCCAACATTTGCACTTTCAGCTTTCAACATTGCAAATATTTCCTTTATTGACCTCAAATTCCTGGTAATTAAGCATACATCGTCTGCCTGAGCACATATTTGCACCATTGCCTTAAGTATGCAACCAGGCGAATCCAGTTTTTTCAAAACATTAAGTGCAATATTAAATAATGTTGCAGACAAAGCATCCCCTTGCCTTACATCATTCGTCATTGGAAAGTTATTGCTTACATTGCCTTTACTTCACTTTTTTATTGCTATTATTCATAGTCATTTGCAATAACCTTATTAATTTTTTTGGAATTTGGAACTCATGTAAGGCATTTATTAATTTATTTCTTATCACTCTATCGAAAGCTTGCCGGTAATCTATGACCAACAAATGCAGGTCAATCTTATATTCCCAGGCTTTTTGCATTATTTGCCTCATCACAAAAACCTGATCAGTTGCTTCTCTCCCCTTCCTAAATCTACACTGGTTTTTCTCCAGTACGTTCTCAGCAAATACCTTGAGCCTCACACAGAGAATATCTGGAAATATTTTACAGGCTACAGCCAATAGAGAAATTCCTCTGTGATTCTCGCATTGGAGTTATCTCATTTTTTATAAATCGGGCACATCAGACTGGTGCACCACTGAGGCATGATTTCACTACTCCAAACATCCTTCAACAGTAAATGTATTTGGCTTATCAATTCTTCTCTGTATTTAAAGAATTCTGCAACCAGCATATCCTCCCCAGGTGTTTTGTAATTTTTAATTTTGCTATCACCTCAGCCACCTCTTCTATTGACAATGACTCCAGATCATCAACACACCCTTCTTCATCACTGCCAGCTATACATTCATTATCATTAGAGTTGAAGAGTTCTGTGTACTGCTCTTCTCATCTACCTAGAACTCGGGAGCTCTCTACTACCATGCCATTTTTATCTTTGCATCCGGTCATTTTTGACTGAAAACCCTGACTCATACTGTTTACTGCTCCATAAAATTTCCTTGTTCATTTGTTGCTCTCAATTCCTCAATCTGCTCTATTTTTCTTTTCATAAAATCCCGTTTATTATTTCAAATAACATTCTTTCCTTTTTTCTTATTTTCTCTATATGCCGTAGAGGTTTGTCTTGTAGAGCGCTGCAGCATCACCATCCTACATTGATTTCTTTCACGCAGGACCTCAAGGCATTCAGCATCAAACCACTTCTCATTTCTTTTTCTACTCTTCTCACCTATCTCCTTCTCTACTGACTTTTCACTAGCTCCTCTAATTCTCTTCCACTTTTTGTCTACACATTTCTCTCCTTTCTCCTCCTGACTGTCTTATCAGATTCCTATTTAGTGATATTCAAAATCTTCCATCTTTTCCTACAGGGCCGTTGAGCAGTTCTTTTCACTGTAAGCTGCTGTCTGAGCTTCAATTTAACCATATAATTGTCCTGGGTCACTTCATCTTTTCATCGTAGTTTCTGTCTTCCAGACCTCCTTGCTTGACTCATGTATCTTTCCTGGCAGGTTATTTTTTGGGATTTCTATATTAAGGGGACAAGACATCCTGATTTTGGTGGAACAGTCCCAATTTTTAACAATTTGTCACGTGACTCTTGACGTTTTGGAAAAGTCCCGATTTTCTGAAAGAATGCATGATAGACTAGGGAACAGCAGAAGAACGGGAAGGGAATATACAATATTCGGCATCCACGTGGCTATTTCGCCAGGATATGATTTTTAAATTATTTTTGTTAATTTTATAATGTTGATCTTTAATAATACCGAATAACTATTGAGAACTGATTATTGAGAACTGATTATTGAGAACTGCTTAGCAAAGTTCGCATTGTTGATCAGTTATTAAAATTCAACCACTATTGTTTATACTTCATAAACAACTAGAAAATGGTCTTTTTAATAAGATATGGTTATTTAAAAAATATATTAAATAGGAAAAGGTTCAATCTTTAGCATCAGCAAATTAACTTCATTTGCTACTTCAATTACCCAAATTTTTTCACCCTCAACATAAGTTTTATAGTATTTTGAAAAAGAACTGCTTGATTGTGTACAACCTACTGGCACAAAACATGTAAGTCTTAAAAAATGTGTTAATTATTGAAGTCATAAATTAGACATTAAATATACCATCAAGTTATTCGTTCTCAAAAATACTTCTTTAGAATTAAATTATGTACCTTAGTATAGGCCCCAACAAATGAAAATAATGGATACGTGGCAAACTGTAGGATAACGGGGTGGGAGGGTGGGGAAATTGTTTGAAATATATTCTATATGCAATATTTAATTTATTCTTAAATGAAAATTACCATCTCAGGCAGATATTGAGTTGTTTCATGTCCTTCCTAATAACAAAAACGTTAAGTCACACTTTAAACTAATAGATGATTCCTTTTACATTTATGTAAGTTTATGAATCCAAATTAGAACTCCATGAAACAAATTCTTACTAGAACTGCTAGTAGATAGATACAGTCCTTTGTAGTGGGATTATAATGTACAAGATCAATGATACCATTCTTTGGATGGCCCTATGGTGGATGAGGCAGGAGTTCGAACCCATGAATTTCTTTAAACGTTTCTTTTACACAACACAAGTAATTTATCGTTCATTTCAAATTTCATTTAGTATTCCATAGTTTATTGTTTGTAGCAAATATTTTGCAGTACTGTGACCATATTGCTCATATTATTTCTTTAATATATCTGTATAGTTATGTAAATACTTCTGTCATTACTTATTTTTTAGTTATTTTTTTTTTATTGTAATATGTATTTTGGCCAGATGGTATGTTAATTTTTATGTACAAAATTGTTATTCTTAAGGGACTTTGCCCCAGAATAAAGTTGATTCTTCTATTCTATTTTATATTTTGTCATGTACATTCTTTAATACCATTATTAAATGGTTATTAATTTTCAACCAATTCAAATAGAGTGGTCTTGATTTCAGAAATTGGATATGAATATAAAGGAATTCAGTGTCCTATATCCAACGATATGCTGGAAAGGAATGAATCTGTCAAAAGCAATGTAACATTTGATCAGCAGCTCCAGGTTTAAAAAATATATATATTTTTTTAATTATAGTTATTGATCTTACCTCTTTGATTGATCTGGAAGGTAGTTTCTATAATATGTTCCCTGCTTATTTGATAGTACAGTATAAATCTTATTCATTTTTATTTGTATTCAACTAATACACCCTTAATTACCTTTTCTGTTATAATAATTGATTGCGTGCATTTTATATTATTTTATTTCATTAGGCTTCTTAAAGTAGATTTTTTTTATTTTTTTTTTGTTTGTTTTAATAATTTTTTTTTTAGAGAACACTTAATTTATTTGATGGTCATTTTTAGGCGAGGATTGCCGAGTTGGAGAAAAAGAAGGCATGTTTTCTTTTAATTTTCTTTATATATTTTTTATTTTCTATTACACTGATCTTGGTATGATCTCTTTTTGGTTGATATTGAGATTTTACTTATTAAATTAGTATTTAACATTTATTGATAAAGTAGTATATTAGTGACATAAAATAAGGAATAGGGAAGTAATAATTATTCAAAGACAATAATTCTTTTGCTTAGATATCAGTTAAAGTTGTTTGTACCTATTTAATATTACCGTAGAATGTGCTGTCAGTAGATCACAAATTCATATCGGTAGAATGATTTTTAATCACTCATAAAACTGTTAAGAGTTTGCTGACGAGGTCGTATTGGTCACTAACAGCCATAAAGAAAGCCTTTATAACCTTGAAAAGAGATATTGCAAGAGTTGGCTTACATATAAATGTGAATAAAACCAAATATATGCGGACCATTTTAAGAGGTGTGTGCCCAAAGGAAGCAAACATGAAAATTGGAGGCTTTAATTTATAATGTATCTCTGAGTTTATATACCTTGGATCCCAGATGAATATAAATAATTACATGAATGCAGACATCCAGAGACTTATCATTACCACAAATAGTCAGCCTTCAAAAACAACTTAAAAGGTGGGTGATCTCTCATACTACCGAGCTGCGAATATATAGAACCTTAAATAGACCAGTCCAAACTTGTCATTTTGAGTTTTGGATAATATCAAAAACTCAAGAAGCAGCCATTCTTCGGATCGAACATCGCATTCTAAGAAGTATATTTTGTCCAATCTTCAATATTAACCAAGAATGGTGAATAGAAACAAACAAGGAGCTGAAGGAGCTATATCCAGATGCTGATGTCCTGAGAGTAATAAGGATTGGTAAATTAAGATTGGCTGGACTCATTCGCCGGATGTCTGGAGATCACGTGTTGAGAAGATTATTTAAAGAGTGAATTTATGCAACAAGAGGGGTTGGTAGACTTAAACTTAGATGGTCTGATGGATTGGTAGCAGACACCCAAACTATCCTTGGAATCCACGATTGGAGATTGGTCTGGGGTGGCACTCATAAATAGACTAAATAGTGGCGAAACTACTTTCTTAAAAGCCAACGTTTTACTTCTTTCATTTTTGTTTTTATTCACATTGTACTCCTATCTATATCTATATATTTATAATTTATTATTTTATAGATATAATGTTTTCTCTTGTATCCATCCATATCTTCAAATTTTAGACACAGAAATTTTCCAACTTTTTTTTTACTTATACTACTTACCCCCTCACCATTACCCAACCAGGTCAACAAATTTCCCCAATACCCACCTTTGCCCTGATTTTGCAGTTCTAAGTGAAACTACTTGCTGAACACACCTGTAAGTCTCTATTTTTATTCTTCTAATTTTATTTACTTATTTTTTTGTTTCCTTTTTTTCTTTTCTTTCTCCACATCCCTTTATGTCTATTATTTCATATTATATCCTTTTTCCTTTTCTTTAAATCTCTCCTATAGATCTGTAGAAGTATATGCACATTGCATATATTATATATTACACTACAATAATTGTTACCATCTATTTACTTCAGTTTAGAATCTTGTTACTTAGCTTACTCTGTTAATATTTTAATGTAGTTACTGTTTATAATGTTAATAAGTTTATTCATATTATTTTCTGCAAAGTCGGGCAGAAACATTTGCTTTTAATAAAATAGTTTTTCCACTATTTAGTCTATTTATGAACTCCACCCTGGACTATCTCCTTCCTTTATATAGATAACAGTTTTGAAAATATGCATGATAACTGTAAATTTAGACAATTCTCTGCTGAGAATCTTTCCAACTTAGTAATTATTGATATTCATTATACTAATTATTGTGTACATCTATATATAAATATACAAATATATACCTTATCATAAATAAATTAAATGTACAATAGAAGTTAGTAATCCTTAGTAGCCCAAAACGATGAATTTAAGAACAAATTGAACATTAATTCATAGAATACTTAAAAAGAGTATTGCAAGAAACGGAAAAACAATAAACATGTATCTATTGGCATTCGTACATAAGCATCAAAACCATCTTCATCATCTATGGTACTACTCCTGCAGAGCCAAGGCTTCCTGCAGTTTGGTTCACCAGTCTTCACTACTGGTTGCCTTCACTCTGCAGTTTTGAATTCCCAAGATAGACCTAGCAACAGCTATGTTATTAGATAAGGTTTAAAATAAATAGGGAATGAAAAGTCAGACAATTTTTTATTAGTGAAAAAGAAGGATGAGGAGGTAAATCTTATGTGTGAATTGGTGGAACCAAACAGATTAAACATGTCTGAGGGTTTTTATTTTTATTCATCATTTTTTTTCTTATATTTCAATCAATTGAGATAATTAATTTAAATAACAGATGATTCAGATTAACTTTCGAAAAAAAAATAAATCAACTGAAAAATCTACCATATTATAAATGACACATTAAACTTTATTTGTTATTTGAATAACACCCAAGAGAATGAATAACACTGAAGAGAACAAATATTTATCTTTAATAACATAACGTCACTTTTTAGAGCAGACTGTGAGGTTGAAGTTGCAGGAGGTCCTGACTCTACACGAGTTGTAGTGTCACAAAAGAAGAAGAAATGAACTTTTAAATTAATATCATGATAATTTTAGTCATTAAGGAAGTTAATATGAATTCACATTAATTATCTAAATAAAGTTTCCTAATAATATACAAGAAAATTTTTTGGTTAAAACTTTGGTTATGAAAATTGATCTTATATGGAATGATTTTACTCCATGTTAAAAAAAAAACTTTCATAGTACAAAGTCAGAAATTGTTCTTTCAAATTATTGCTTTAATATTTAAAATATCAAAAATTTAATATTATTAGTATTCATAGTTAATAAATCTACTTTATTTAGGAAATAAAACAAAAGGAATGCTTGGCATTAGAGAAAGATTTAGCTGAACAAAAAAATAAAGAACTGCAGTTACAGAATGAACTGAAAAAGGATAAAAACAAGGTCTGTAGTTAATTACATTGTAAAAATCGTCAACCATGCTGCAAAAGCTTGTAAGAAGAATTTCATTGGAAAATAAGGTTGTCAGCTTTTCTGTCCTCAATTATTTCCTCATGCATATTCAGAGATTAAAACTAAAAAAATTACTTGAAGCATTTCATGTTTGTCTTTAGTATGTATAAAAATTGAACAGAAAATGTAGTTCATAAAATAAAAATACAATTTTTTTCATCTTCTGAATATTTTTAGTTTTTGCAACGTGGTTATCGAAATACTGTTTCTTTATTTTATTTTGTGAATGCAATAAATAAAAAAATGTTTTCTTGTGCGAAATATTTAACTTTTGGACTGCCATATGTGATTTTTCTAACATTTAAATAATTAAAATAATAGTACTAAACCATGTTGTGATTTATTTATAGTTAAGTTTCTAAAAAAAATTATGGGCCCATTTATCTCAGATGTGAGCTTCCATTTGTAGTAAGTTCTCAAGTGCTGTTGGTTCTATTTACAATAGAAAATTCATTGAAACAAAGTCTCAAAATGCTAGATTAATACTCTTTTTATCATATATTAGACAGCAATAATACTGAATACAAAAATATGAAAATTTCATGTATGCAACTACAGATTCAATATTTATACCTTAGTTTACTATATACATACACTCTATTCTTTGATTTTAAGGGTCCTGTGAAGATATGATATTGACCTTTTTCATTGTTTTAAAGAGTATTTATTTATTACTTTTATTACTATATAAGATTCTTGACTTACCAAAACATTAAATTGTTCTTATTAATCGTTATATTTTTTTAGCTTGTTGAAGACTTAAAGAAACAACAAATGAAAATTGCAGAAGAAGTTTTGAAGTTTCAAAATAAGAAAGAAGCAGAAAGAGAAAAGTTGATAGAACATATAAAACAAGGTATTGTTTGTAGTATTAAAGGTGAAAGTTTTTTATTTATTAAAAAATGGATGTGTCTGGTATAATTATCTGAAACTACCCAGAGATAAAATCATGCTTGGATGCTACTTTATTTAATTAGTTAATTCAAATAACAAAAAAATACAATAGTTAACTTTTGTACTAAAAATACAATAGTGCAGTGTCACGTGTATTTATTATCTACTGTCTATTAATGGTTGTTGGAAGCCAAATGGGTCCTCTCTGACAGTAAAACTTCAAAATTCCTCACCAGACATGGGGGATTTTGAACAACGTTCTATGCTTATGGCAAGGACATTGGCCCTGTTGTGGTTATCCAAAACTACTGAGCACATATTCACGATACTTCACTTTTGAGGCAATTAATGCAAAACCACTGAGAGAAACTGGACTCGATATCATTACAGCTATATGAGGAACTTAATCGAGGTCTAAGTGTCGCTCACGGGCCAAAAAGTTTGGAGACTTCTGGTATATAGTATACAAAAATATTTTTAGAGCTTAAATATGAAAACTATGGGAACATAAAACCATAATGTTTACAAAAATTAAGATTTTAAGAACTTACATTACTTAATAACAAAAGAGAGGAAAGGTTAGAATTTTCAGATTTCTGTTTATATCTTGAAAACAATGTGTTGCAGGGAAAATTGACTAATGATAAGTGAAAGTTTTTAAAATTATCTAAAACTTTTATTCTATAGGTTTTCTTTTTTCAAATTCTTAACCATTTTCGAGCTATGTGTTCTGAAAAGTTTGTCTTTTTTTTTTTATTCTTCTAAAATTGTAATTAATGACATTTATAATTGAAAAATTGTTAATATATTCTTTGTAAATATTGATTCTTTGTAACGGGTGTAGTTTCATTTGACTCTGTAAAAAAAGCTATAACATACAATACCTTCCTTGACTTACATCGAGCAAATTTTTTTACAAATATCCTGTCCCTCATTCTGATATACCCAAGGTAAATTAGTCCCTCTAAAATTTGGGAAGAATCATCAGATCTCTATTTCTACTACCTAGACAAAGTTAAAACCAAATTATCATGAAGATACAACTTTTGTCAATTGTTTCATATACTTTTTCTGTACTATAAGAAATGATATATGCCGAGGCAAAACTAAACATTTGATGAATTGTTTTTTACGATTCATCCACAGTATCCCAAGAGATGCCTCTATCCCCCGTTTTTATGATAAGCTGAAGTGGCTTTATCCTTCCTACCATCCTGTCTCTTCCAAGTCATCCAATCCCGCCATCCTTCATAGATCTTCAAGCTCCTTTAATTAATATCCTCTGTCTACTCCCACAAAACCCGATCCCGGTCTTCAGATTTGTATACAAGGGCCCACCAAACCGCTGTTTTCGACAGATCTTTTATTATCCCCTCCTCTGTCCTATAGAATTCTATCCCTTTCTGCATCCGTCACTCCAATATCCTTCCCACTTTTAAATCCCGCCTTTTCAATCACCTCTTATCCGTTCAGTCCCTATAAAATTGTAAATAGATTTTGTAAATATGTATATAGATTATTACTAGTTAATTTTAAATATTTTTATTTCACTTTCTTTTTCTTAATAGATAAAGTTAGAAGATTATTTTTACTTTTTTATTTAATATGTTTGTTTGTTTATTGTGATAATTCTCTGACCAATATTTTATGCGAATTATTCGCACAGGCCAGCTAGTTATTAAGATTTTCACATTAATGGTTAATAAAGATGAGTGCAATCAAATGGTCATAATGTCCTACAAAGATATTGTTGCTTTTTTTTTCAAACCTACACCTTAAACATGTCAATTTCATGATGTATACTTTATTGATTAACATCCGTAGGCTACAAAGCACAGATGATAATTGAGCTATTTTGAGATAAAATAATGTAGTGGCCTACAAAAACATTGGGGGGTTTCGCTTACAAACTTACAAAAATTAGATATAAATTATTTTTTCACCAATCCTTTTTGGTTACCACGGCTGGAGGTTGTAAATGCTGTATCTGGTAAGGGAAAGCGGACTGACTGGTGGACCGAGGACCTTCAACGAATAGTTGCTCGGAAAAAGCTTACCTGGAAAGTATACCTTCAAGATAGAAACAAGGAAAAGCTACAAAACTACCGAACAGCCAGGAATGAATGCAAGGAAGCCGTTAGCCAGCCCAAGAAACGTTCGTGGGAGGATTTCGGTAAAAAACTGAGTGAAGACCATCGTGAATCCAAAAGAACTTTTTGGCGAGAAATTAAATTTTTAAGAGGAAAGAAAAACAAGCCCGTCAGAAATGTAAAGGATAGCGATGGATCCCTGCTTACCGACAAGGAAGAGATCCTGAACAGATGGAAACAACATTTTCAGGAACAATTCTCAAAAAATCCAGCAATACGTCACTGCCAAGAACGAGAGCACTCTACTCTAGAAAGCCTGGAGGTAATAGAAGAAGAAGAAATAAAAGACGCAATCCAGACTCAAAAAGCAGGAAAGGCACCAGGAAGGGATGGTATCGCCCCAGAATGTTTGAAATGAACTCCTTAAAGTCCTTCAAAGGCTCTTTCAGGAAGTATATGATAGAAAGAAAATTCCCAAGGATTGGGAATATAGCATAATCCTTCCAATTTATAAGAAAGGCAGTTTGCAGTGAACGGACTGCAATAACTATAGACCCATCAGTTTGCTCTCTGTAGTCTATAAATTATATACCTCTATATTAGAAAGGAGGCTCCGGCGGATTGTAGAGGGACAGCTGGAAGGTGAACAGGCTGGTTTCCGTCCTGGCCGGCAGACCCAGGACCATATCTTTGTTCTTAGAACCATCGCTGAAAAGGCCTGGGACAGAAACAAAAAGCTGTACCTAGCATTTCTTGATCTAAGGGTAGCGTTTGACTCAGTTCCTAGGAAAGAAATTTGGAACACTTTGGTTGCCAAGGGCGTGCCTGGAGATTTGATTGAGGCCGTGAAATCAACCTACCAGGGAGCCACTGGAGTGGTAAGGATAAATGGCACCGAGTCAGAACCTTTCCCAATTGCGAGAGGAGTCAGACAGGAAGATAGTTTAAGCCCCCTCCTGTTTATAAACTTTAGGACGAGATCCATAAAATCTGCAAGCGTCGGACTGCATGGACTACAATTGGAAACTGGAATATGAGAACTGTCCTCGTGCAGAGCTTTTTGTATGCGGATGACATTGTGCTCATCGTATGCGGATGACATTGTGCTCATCGCCGATTCCAAGACGAAACTACAGCAACCACTGGTAGAATGGAAAGAAGAGCTGCTGAGGAAAGGTATGCAAATAAATCCCTCCAAAAGTAAAGTGATGATTATGGGGAGAGAAGAAGAGGAAGACGTCCAATTGGTTTGCAACAGAGAGATTCTTGAAGTAGTAAAGGAGTACACATACTTAGGTACGATAATTACTAACGCTGGTAAGATAGATGCTGAGATTTCGTATAGAATATCTAAGGCGAATCAAATATATCACCAGATTGCTTGCAGTATCCTCAGCTGCCGTGAAATGGATAAAAATACCAAGATGCACGTCTATAAGTCTGTATACCTTCCTATTCTTACCTACGGCGGAGAAAGTTGGACTATGTTGGACAAACATTATAGTCGCATAACTGCAAAATGCGATTCCTACGTAGATCGGTGGGCAAAACTAGGAGGGATCGCATTAGAAATGAAACTATCAGAGAACAGCTGGAAGTGCCTGCACTATTAACTACCTTGGAGACCAGGCAATTAAGGTAGTTTGGACATGTCTGCCGCATGAACGAGGACATGGACCCTATAAAGATATTAGAGGCTCGACCCACAGGGAAGAGTCCACGAGGGCGTCCTAGAGTCATATCAGGAGTTCATGGAGAGGATCAGAGGTAGAAGAGGCAAATCCTTCAACCAAATGAAGCGGTTAAGCAGAGACCGGGAAGAGTGGCTACCTTGGATAGAGGCTGACATGGCCATTAGAAATGGCATTGTGTGGAAGACAAAGAAGTTTGTCCCCTTCTAAGAAGGAGGCCAAGGCGGAAAGGGGTGAGGGTGAATATTCAAAATTCCCTTCTTTTTTTTCAGTTTATAACCTATAACTTTTAAACAGCGTAACCCAATAAAACTTTATTCTATTATGAATTAAATAACATTAAATTCTGCATAAAACGAGTACTTCAAACATCAGAATCGGATAAGCAGAATAATCAAAATATCCAATAATAAAGCTTATGATTCATGAATTTTCTTTGAAAATTCCTTTATAGGCATTTTTGATGTAGAGATGGTTGACCGTTGATATAATATGAGAAGGAGTTAATCGGGAGGTGCGGTCAAATAAATACTAAATTGAAATATAGTAATTATTTAATTTTTGCCGACGTTTCGACCCACTTTGCAGGTCGTCTTCAGGGCGTAGGATTACGATTAGGATTGTTTTACAAGAGAGCATAAAAACTCATTATTTATTTATGTTTTATTAGTATAATTTCATATTTTACTGTAATTTGTTGTTTTCCATAGTTGCAGACTACTTATATCAGTTGCAGAGTACAAAATGTCACCTTTAGCAGAAATAGAATAAAAGTTGAAAACTTTTACATACAACCTTTTGTACTAATAATAGTGATATATACTTAATGTTTTCACTCGTAAAATGGATGGAACTAAAAAATCCATAGGAAAAATTCAACTTGTTTGTTCGGAATTAACGAGACCAATACTTTTCTTCAGTGAGAACAAAAATAATTAGGCTAGAATATAAAAATATGAGTGAAGTTGACACAATTTTGATACTTAAGGAGAAAATCGAGACCACAGCGAGCTGGTTGAACTTAAATGGAAATAAACAATAAAAAATAAGACTTTTTTTACAAATTCAGAAAAAAATTACTCTAAATTTACTGAAAATTACACGAAATCTATGTAATGGCAATAAGTGTCGTGCTAATAATGTTTGGAATCGACCAAACAATACAGTATCAATTAATTTTTTTAATAAAACCTACAATTTCATAACTCCATAGCAATATTGTAATAACCTAACTCCCAATCCATATGATCAGTGCCTTTAACATTTCACGGCCATTATATTGTTTACAATTATTTATATTAATTTAATTATTGAATGGAATTCAATGAAATTGATACTAAGTTACTTCTATACTGTTCTCCAAATTTCCTCCAAGTTTGGGTCAAATCGAATGCACCGTTTTCAAACATAGGCATATCATCAACTAACACATTTCCTCAGCAGAAAGTGGAAGTTTTTTTTTTTTTTTTGGAGTAGTAGATAGAATTTGATAAAATTGATGTCCAGTTCATTTTACATTGACCAATCCCTAAATTCCCTCTAAATTTGAGCCAAATCGAACTTGAGGTTTTAAAGATATAGATGTATCAAGGAAAACACCTTTGAGCATATATAAGAAAAAGCAATGGACAGAATTCAATCAAATTGACCCTAAATTATTTTTTCACAAACCCCTGCCTTTTATCCAATTTTGAGCCAAATCGAACCAGCCATTTATGAAATATTGGTATATCTACAAAAATGCATAAGTGGAAGTACTAATTAGAATTTAATAAAATTGATATTGGGACCATCTAGACACAGACCCGCACAATTTCTGAAAACTTCATGAAAATCAGATGAACGGTAGTAGGTGATATGTCCGTTACATCGATTTAACTACAGACAGACACCGAAATAAATTTGATCCTTGATGACTGAAATGTAAAATGCGAGTGGGAATTTTTGATTCTGAGCACAAAATTTTTTTTAACCTCCCACACGAATACAAAGCTTCCCTACCTTTGGTAGTGAGGAAGCAAAATAGTAATAAAAAGAAAATATGGAGGTGTTAGTTGTTTTATCAAATTAACTTTATTTTAATAATTCTAAAAACCAATGATAAATTGTAGAAACTCAAAATGAAACAATATTCAATATCAATCATTAAATAATATTTTTAGAAGTAGTAATGTTTAAATTGCTATTGGTTTTCAATTAATTTGTTGTTTATGAAATTAGTATAAACATTCTATAAATCATTGTCAGGTTTCGGTGGTGGACTGGGGAGTGTGGTAAGGCTTACAGGAATAAAAAATTTGTTTATTGTTCTTCAGTATCACAAGTTCTAGAATGAAATGTGGAAAGGTACTAATTATCAAATAATGTGCATTTGAAGAAGTATAAGACAAATCGACAATTAATATTGCTTCTATTTATTTTCTTGAGTCTTGATAATTTATTATTGGTTATTAAAATCATTAAAACTAAGAGAATTTGATTATAATATGTTTTTAAATGCTTAGAAATGTTAATAAAACAAATTCAACCTTGCATTGGTATATGTCTATTGGACATAGCGATTTTATAATATTTGAAGTAATTTTTACTGAGATTGTAATTCCATTAATTTTGTTCCTTTAATATTTCTGTAACTATTGATTTTATCAAGGAAATGTATTGTAAAATTTTTATTGAGATTTTGAAGTACTTTAATTTTGTATACAATGATATTTACGTCAAACCTCATAATTGTTGAGATATTCATAAAAAACTGAAAAACTAAATCAGTTATTGTCCTTCTTCCCTTCGCCATATAAAACTTGACCCAGGAATCTTCGAAAACTTTCACTAGCTATTACGAGAAGGGTCCTGAACAACATTTGATGAAATTTAACTTTTTTTTTATGTTCCGGCTACTTAGTAAAGTTAATATAATAAATACATACATATATATATATATATATATATATATATTTTTAAATGCCCCAATATTTTTGAAGGCTACTATGACCATTTGATTGCACTCATCTTTATTAAATATTGATGTGAAAATCAGCTGAATGTTCATAAAGTTTCACAACATCATTCTGACGACATTTTAGGATGGTAGGTCACACCAAACGCTCCAATATTTTTGTAGGCCACTATGACCATTTGATTGTACTCATCTTTATTAACCATTAATTTGTTTTTCTCATCTTTATTAAGTTATTAATTTGTTAATCAGCCAGTTGTTCATAAAGTTTCACAACGTCGTTCTTACGACATTTTGGAATTGTAGGTCAGACCGAGAATTTTTGTAGATAAAATATATGTAGGTTACGACAAAAATGAATACAAAATATGACAAAATGAAGCCACTCACGAACTTTTAGACCGATGTTAATAATTTCATGAAAAGAGACCTATACCACGGGCTATCATTATTTTCATATAGTAAACATATTTTTATTGAAATTATTATTATTAATAGTTGTTATAAGATAATAGATCTTTCCCACTTAAAATTTCTTATTTTCAGCTGAATCGGAGGCTGATAATGTGATTGCCAAGATGTTGGATATGAATCATGCCTATAGAGAACCTTGGTCTATTTTTCAACAGCAAGAGATTGATAGAGCTTCTGAGCGTCTCATCTTTCAGCAGAATTTAAATGGAGATCTCAAGAAAAAGGAAATATTGAGTAAGTTAAAATTTTGTTTGATATGAACTTTTTTTTTTTCATTTATCACCTATCTTATCATTTTTGGCATTCACAGTGGTTGTACTAGAGTTACTTCTAAATTCATTCTAACCAAAGTGAAAAGGTTAAGATTCATCGTGTGGATCCACCACAAAATAAATTTCAACCCATCCAGCCTAGATTCAAATCAGCACAGCTAGTCTAGTATAATGCATATGCAAAATATGTTTTGCCTGGCAACCTGTGAAAAACTGAAGATTAAGAAATCAAATTCTGGTGCCCGGGAGACTTTTAATTCTGCATAATTCCCCTGATCTGTTAAAAACTACTTACAGCCAAAAAAGTGAGAGGAAAAAACTTGACAATGATAAAATAGGCAATCCTACAATATGAAATAAAGAAAAAATAATAATATCACACATTACAAATAAAATTACACTTAATGTGCTTTTTCTTTCTTGACAACACCTCTTCTTCTCTTCTGTACCAATTTCTTGAATTAACATTTTAAAGATAGGATGAAACAAAATACTTAGCTTTACGTGGTTTCTCAGCTTATTACTTAGTTCTTTTTGTGGTACTCCTCCAAAAATCAAATGCTACTTATTTTAATCTAAAAATAACTGTTATTTCCAAAATTATTTTTTCTGTCAGCTATTATTAGTGATGAGTATGAGTTTAAAAAATTAAAATTTGACAAGTGTGAGTTATTTTTATGAGAAAAAGCTGTTGTAGTTGACAAATATTACTTCTGTTGAAGTATGAAACACATTCTCCTTTTTAAAAATATATTTACCATCTCCTGTGTTTTACTTTTAGGTGACATGGAAAATCTTCTGAAAAATGAGCGGTCAAAATTGTTGGATTATGAAGAAGCTAAAGCACAAACTATTAAAGATTCTTTAATCAGGTAATAGTTTGATTTGGTGGTTATGGTTTATTATTTCTATAATCACAATTTATTGACAATTTTTATATATTTTGATCTTGTATAGAGAAGCAGAGTGGGATAGCAAAGTTTCTCAGTTACTTGCTGCTCAAGAAAGACCATTAGCATGGGATACATCAGAGCAAGAAGCAGCTGTTGCAATGCTTTTAGAACGTTCTGATCTTGAATCAGGTCGCCTCAGAGCACAGCTAGGCATTATTGAAAGGCAGTTGAAATATCTCACAGCAGCAGAAATGAAAAAAGCTCGAATGGACACTAGTCAAATAACTGTAAGTTTATTAATTGTTTCTCTTTATTGTTAAAATGGTATATATTGACAACCATTAAATGTGATTATTAATGTTTATATTAAGTAATTAAATTGTCTTCAAACGGAAAAAAAAATCATTGAAATCGGTCAAATTTTAGCAAAGATACAGCTTATTGAAATTTGTAAATATGTTGGTTCCAAAAAAACTTGAAGATTTAAATTAATTTTGTTTCCTTTGTCGATTATATTTCTCGATAAAGTAACAATTGATTCATTTATCTTTTGATACGTTTCATTATTTTATTTTATTATTAATTTGGCATTTCATAACAATATGCTGTGCGAATTTTTCGCACGGGCCTACTAGTTACTATAGATAATGTTCTTTTTTGCTTCCTCACTACTGAAGGTAGGGAAGCATTGTATTCGTGTGAGAGGTTAAAAAAAATGTTCTCAGAATAGAAAATTACCACTCGCATTTTATGTTTCAGACATCAAGGATCAAATTTGTTTCGGTGTCTGTCTGTATTCAAATCATGTAACGGGCATATCGCCTACTACCGTTCATCCGATTTTCATGAAATTTTCAGGAATTGTGCAGGTTTGTGTCTAGATGGTCCCATATCAATTTTATTGAATTCTAACTAGCACTTCCGCTTAGGCACGCGCAAACGCATTTTTGTAGATATACCAATATTTCATAAATGGCTGGTTCGATTTGGCTCAAAATTGGATAAAAGGCAGGTATTTGTGAAAAAATAATTTAGAGTCAATTTGATTGAATTCTGTCCATTGCTTTCTCTTATATGTGCGCAAAGATGTTTTCCTTGATACGTCTATATCTCTAAAACCGCAAGTTCGATTTGGCTCAAATTTGGAGGGAATTTAGGGTTGGGAAATGTAAAATGAACTGGGCATCAATTTTATCAAATTCTATCTACTTCTCCAAAAAAAAAAAAAACTTCCGCTTTCTGCTCAGGAAATGTGTAAGTTGATATGCCTATAGTTTAAAACGGCGCATTCAATTTGACCCAAACTTGGGGGAAATTTAGAGAACAGTATAGAAATTACTTAGTATCAATTTCATTGAATTCCATTTAATAATTAAAATTAATATAAATAATTGTTAACAATATAATGGCTGCGAAATGATGAAGGCACTGATCATATATAGTGGGAGTTATATTATTACAATATTGCTATGGAGTTATAAAATTGGAGGTTTTATTAAAAAAATTAATTGATACTGTATTGTTTGGTCGATTCCAAACATTATTAGCACGACACTTATTGCCGTTACATAGATTTCGTGTAATTTTCAGTAAATTTAGAGTAATTTTTTTCTGAATTTGTAAAAAAAAAAGTCTTATTTTTATTGTTTATTTCCATTCAAGTTCAACCTCACAAAATTGTGTCAACTTCACTCATATTTTTATATTCTAGCTTAATTATTTTTGTTCTGATTGAAGAAAAGTATTGGTCTCGTTAATTCCGAACAAACAAGTTGAATTTTTCCTATGAATTTACCGTTTTATGAGTGAAAACATACCTATTAAGCATATATTACTACTGTTAGTGCAAAGGAGGTCGTATGCAAAAGTTTTCCATTTTTATTCTATTTTTGACATTATGTAGTCTGTAATTGACATAAGTAGTCTACTACTATGAAAAAGAGCAGAGGGCAATAAAATATAAAATTATATTAATAAATCATAAAGTTCTTATGCTCTTAAAACAGTCAATTTTTACATACATCATTTGCATTTACAGTAGCGAGATACATATTCAGTATGCTCTGGAATTTTTTTTTTAATTGCGAATTATCAAATATGCAATCTGCAAATGCAAAACTTTTTTGCATTTTATTATTTGTTAAAAACAAAACTCGTGTATATCAAGCCTGAATATGTTGAGGGATTACTGAATTTCCGAAAACAGCTTCTTCTAGAGATTATATTCTCATAAGAAAATATTTAGACCTTTTAATATAGGTATTTTTTAGCAAATGGAAACGGTGAAGAAGCTATACTGACCTTACTTGGCAGATATATTTTTTTTTTTATAAGAAGCAGCAAAGTTAGTTTACGCACAATTGATTTAGTGTATATACTGTTTTAATTTTAACTGATCCAATAGAATAAATTTCTGTATGCCTTACTAGAAGAAAACCATTGGTATTGGGGCACACATAAACTGAACTAACAACAATTAATAAGCAAAAAAATATACACATATAATTAAAAGTCATGCTTATTTGAATTTCTTATCTTGCTATTTGGTAACTGAGCAAGTATTTTTCAAGTTTGTTATTTTTCCTAGAGATATTAATGATCAATATTTTTATCAATATATTGAATTAGTGAATTGATGTATCAATAGAAAATAATTGCAATATCAACTCTGGATGTTTTGAAGGCAGTCAGAATTCTAATGATGTTGATACATGCCATTAGCTATTATAATGATATTTTAATTATCAATAATCAACTCAGCATTTCAAATGCAGTAGTGTTTGAATTAATTAGGAAGGTGAACTTTTATCTTGAATTGACTGGATGAATTTTGACTTTGACTCTAGCCTAGAAAATGTTTTATTACTTCTCTTTGTTGCTCTAGTTGGATGTTAAATCAGTTTGTCTGCCATACCTAGAAAAGTCAGGGAATTTCATAAGCTAGAGGACACAATCACGAATTTTTTGTTGTTACGTATACTGATGTATGTATCTCTACTGTTAGTGCAAAAGATCACATGTAACAATTTTACATGTTTATTCTCTTTGTCCTAAAGGTGACATTTTATGTCTACAACTTCTAAAAAATAAAATAAAATATGAATTTATATATATAGGTAATATTTCATAAAGAAATAATAGATTTTTATGCTGTTCTGTAAAAAAACTCAATTTTTACATATGACTTTTTGCACTAACAGTAGCAGTATACTTAGTATAACATATTGCAACGTTTTCGTAGATTTTTTTTAATGAACAATCTTTTTTTTTTGTGGTTGCATTCTTATTTTATTTTTTAAATACCACTGTTTCTGATTTAATAGTTAATTTTTGCGTAATTTTTAAATATTTCTATGTCAAAAAAAAAAAGGATGTCTTTGAAATCAGTGTTACAAATAATATTGCTATTGTTTTTAGTGCTAAAAAGATTGTTTTGGTGTTTTTATTTGTAACCCTAAGAGAGTTGTTTAATTTTTTTTTTAGATAGTTCACAAATTTATTTATCATAAAAATTTATAATGCCTCTACATTGTGGTTTATAGTATTTAAAATGTTAAATACTGTATCATTCATTTAACAACTAATCAAGATCAGTCATGTCCTATTAATTCTATTTGGTTGCCGTGGAATTTTTCCAAAAATGTTCAGGAAAAATTAGTAAATTTCATAAAAAGATTTCGGTAGAAATCCTAGTTAAACCAAATAAATAGAGCAGTAGCAAAGCTTAAAATTGCCTCATGATACTCAAACACTTGTGAAATCTTCTTAGTTGAAGTACTTAGTGGCATTTAACCCAATGAATAAACAATAGGTATAAAAAAGTCCATTTTTAAATATTTATTGTTCATTGTTGTTTAACAGAACGAATTGTCTGAAAAGCGTGCTCAGCTGTCAGAGCTGCTAATGGACGTACTCGAACAACGAGAAGCAAGGAAAAGCCAACTATTAGACATGCTGCGTAGAATGGAAGCTGTTGCTCATGGGGAAGAGGACTATTGGCTAGTACAATATCAAAAACTTCTTGAATCGCAGGCTGTGTTGGATCCAGATCTTGTGAGATTGATTGTCCTCGCAGGGCTACATAAACATCTTCCATTACTCATGAACCTTGACTTGAATGAGTTAACTTTCGACCAACTTAAGAAGGTTAATTTCTTGGTCAATTATACAATTATTAAAATAATTGTTTATCATTTAGAATAGAATTTTCCATGCAATAAATCATCACTAAAACTTTAATGTGTTTATTTATTTCTTGTATAGTATATAACAATTTAGAAACTTTTTATAATTAAGTGGCTTCATATCAGAGACATATCGCTACTGTTAGTGGAAAAGGTCGTACGTAACTTTTTTACATGTATCTTCTCTTTTCTCTGTAGATGACATTTTGTAATCTGCAATTGCTATAAGTAATCTGCTAAATAATAAAATATCTGAGGAAAATAAAACATGAAATTATACTTATATAAAAAATTAATGATTTAATGTAATTTAATAGAAAAAATGGTATTTCATGTTACTTTAATAATATTTGTTTATCAAGCTTTTTTTAACTATGTTCATTTCATAGTAGTTTATTTTTTTACTATATTTTTTATTTTCAGGGTGGTGTTGAGGTTGAAGAGGAAGCTCATGCTATTTTAAAGGCTGTCAGGTCTTATCTATCAGATCTGATAGTGCCTTCAGCACCCTTTGAAGAGATCCCTTCAGCTCCTAGTCCTACTACTACTGAGTATGAGTCCGAGTGTGTTGTTTGTATGGCAGCTCAGGTACAGTAGCTAGAATAGTTACAATTTTATTATCGATAATTTTAGGTATAAGTGTGAACATGAAAATTGAGCATAATGATGTATTTTCTATGTGGTGATCAGTTTTGTAGTTTATTAATTTTACACTTAACATATCACTCAATAACTCTCCAGTCTAACGAAGAAATACCAATATTTTTTTAGAAATGTAATATTCACTATTGATTGTTTTGTCTTTATCAAAATAGTCGATAAAAAAAATTCCATCTGCATCCCAAAATACGGATGCCATAATGTTGCCAGCCAACTTTTGAGTTTTCGCATGACTTTCACAGGCCGCTCAGCTGACGATATTTTTGATTCATGCATGTAGTGGTGGATCTATGTTTTATCTATTGTCACATACCGATGCAAAAAATCCTGTTTATCTCGCTTGAACAGCTCCAAACCGTGCTCTGAATCGTCGACGCGTTGTTGTTTCTGGTCCAGTACGTGTGAGCAAACGCGGCACCCACTTTGTAAGCAACTTGCACATACCCAAATTTTCATGTAAAGTTGTAAAAACATTGCCTTCTGATATCTTCAAGGTGTCAGCTATCTCAGGCAACTTCATTTTACGGTCTCTTAAAATTATTTTGCAGACATTTTTTCTGTTAACAAATGCTGATTTTGGACGACCAGCATCATCGGTGCTTGTACGGCCACATTTAAATTCAGCATACCTGTCAATAATAGTTGATTTCCTTGCTTACCCATAATGTTTAGCTTCAACAGTATTTTTACCCATAAAAAAAAAAGTTTAATCAACAAACAAAATTCCTATCCATTGTTTTGAAAATTACAAAACTTGGGTCTCTAAAACAACTGTAACCTCTAAACTAACGGTCAGAATGCCATGAAATTTTGACACATATTGTTTGAAGGTTATTACTACCCGGAAACCGCATGGGACTGTCAACAATATTACCCTCTATGTGTCTGACCAGGTATTTATTGAGTGATGTGTCAGAATCTAGAAAATTTGTGTTGTTAAAGATCCAGAGTTACATAGGAATTATAAAGATTACCAATGATAATTCATAAAGAAAATGATATATATGTATATATATTTTCCTCGTCTTTCTCCACCAGCTTTTTTATTTTATGCTATACCCTTTTTTTAAACATATTGTAAGTGATAAACAAAAGTTGTTACATTAAAATTTTAACAGATTTTGAGAAGGAAGTGAAACAGCACAAATTAATAATAAATGAAACCTCCTGACTTATTCTTCTCTCTTAGGAGCATTATGATTTTTTAAATTTAATTTATTATTTATCAGAAGTTATTCAAAGATTTTAAAATAAATAACTATAAATTACTGAGAGTACTAAAATGCATTGTATTTTTATGGATTCAAAATTTATTCTTGATTGACCAAAATATCATGATTCTACCATGTGTTCTCTGTAATTTAAACTGCTGCAGGGAGGTTAAAATGCAGATTATATAATGCTTTATGAGTAAATATAACCATAGAAGATTACAAATCAATAATAACATAGAACTTTAACTAGATAAATAAATGTATACTTCCATAGTTAAAAAAATATTGACTTTCTATGTTATATAACCAATTTTTTTTTTTTTTTTTTTTTAAAGAACTTAGTTATTGCTTGTTTTTACTTTTAGAGGATCTTCCTCAGTACTCTCTTACGTGTATGAGAAAGATTTGTTGCAGCAATTAGTCTCTGGCTCTGTGTGTCTTTTTTCCTTTCTTAAACAAAACTTTCAGTCAATTTTCCCTATTTTAACCCTGTCCAGATTACTGAGATTGCACTGTATATATATTTAATATTTAGGAGTTTTAAAAGTAATGTGAAAATATATTGAAGACAATATAAAAAATTATTTTCCTCGTTGTTCCCTCTGCATTGCTAATAAATAGCAAATTCATTTTAAAAAAAATGATATTTTAGAAGAATTACTAAGACTACGATCTTCCAAAGACAGGATAATAGTTGGAATCTGTCCATGGAATCATAGACTGCTTTGAAATTTACAAGTTAGGTGTGCACATTCTGAGCTACCTACTAGGGTTTTGAGTACCCGATTCCATTCTTTCTTTCAAAGGTACTGAAACTCTTAAAAACTTCAAGAAATATTAAATTAGGAATCAGTGCTCTTATATTTCTGTCAGACCTGGACTCCACAGCACTCTAGATAGAAAGACCTCTGCACTATAGCAAGAATGATCTTGGATCATAGTACTAACATAAAGAGGAAAAAGAACTGCTTTTAGAAACTGGTCAGTCTATATCTTTTGATATGAAGGCGAAAAGGTTAAGATGGATGGTAATGTAGTTCAAAGAAATCCATCATAATTCCTCTACAGAATACTAGTTGACAAGAGACAACTTGAGAGACCAAGCAGCAAATGTATAGATAAATGGGGGCGAGCAGGCTCTCAGACCTTAGCATGAAAAAAATATTCATGTATTGATTAATCCTGTTTCTGGAGTGTTTTATGCACAGATCATAAAATAACCCCCTCCCTCCGTCAATCTTATTTTAAGTTCTCATATCTGAATAAGGAATTATTTCAAGTCTAATATTACTTTTAAGATTTGAGATTGTTGTTTGGACAAATAAATTCAAAATTTTACTCTTCACTTTAAAATTGAAATACTTAGCATAAATTCTTATTTATGCTAAATATTTCAATTTTAAAGTGAAGAGTAAAATGTTGAATTTATTTGTCCAAACAACAATCTGGACTTTCCAACGCATTAATATTCATTAAATTAAAGATGATACAGGAAAAAATTCTTGTTTTTTTCAATTTACTTTTAAATCATAACATATGTAGCCATATAGTGGCTCTATCTTAAGTTTTTCAAATAAAATAGAAAAAGGCTTAATTTATTTTTGATTTCAGTGCCGAGTTGTGTATGTACCTTGTGGCCATCTCTGCTGTTGCCAACCTTGTTCACAGCAAATAAGGCAATGCCCGCTTTGCAGAAGGGATATTGAGTCCAAAATTCATATTATACCCTCATAGCAATTTGGATACTTTTTTTGATAAAGGAATGTTAAAAACATTTTATATTATATTACTGCATCAGTACTGATTCCTAAGACATTGTTTGTATTTTTAAATCAAATGATAATGTATAAAACACTATTTGTTTTTATAAAAGACATTTTTTAAAAGCTAGTCTTAAATTAGTGACATTATAATTTGAAATGGTATTTGAATATTTAGTACCAAATTGTTTTACACTTTTTTGTTCACTCCTTTTTTATTTGTGTGTTTCTTACTTTATTACAACAATGTACAAATAACAGTAAAACAACAATTTTCTAACAAGGGGCACAGATAGAGTAATTCTGAAATAAAGCACAAATCATGTAATTTTTAAATCTAGTCAAATATAGATTACTAAAAGATTTTGATTCATAAATTATATATATTATGTATAAGTCAATTTTATCAAATCATGTTTATCTGTTATGTAATTATATTATGTTTAAGTATTTAAATTTTAAGAAAGTGAATTCAGGTCAGGAAATATGTCATTTATAATCATGTTTCAGAAACAAAAATAAAGCTTTAAAACTGTTTTCATGTTTATATTATATTTAGCTTTTTTTCACTCAATCAGTTATCTTTATCAAGATAAAAAAATATGTGAACTCTAATTTGGCTTAATTAATCTAGATTCGGGAAACCACTTTATAAAACTGAATTAGCTGTGGGAATCATCAAAATTAATATATAACACTGAAACTAAAAGTGGTTACTGCTGTAGAATTCAGCTCTACCAAATCTATCATGCTTAATCAATTCATATAATCTTTCAACATTTATTCCCATCTATAGGAAAGTGTAATACTTGGTAAAATAAAATCATTAAAAAAAAATGTTTGTTTTAATATAAAACATATAATACAAAAACTACTCTACTATGTACATATTAATTTTCACTTCTTAACCAGATTGTGCTTTTAATTTAAAAAAAGCTCATATTAATTATCTTCTTCTTGTTCCTCTTCATCTTCAACTTCAATCGCACTACTGTTGTGTTTTCCATTTATTTCACCATTGACTTCTTTTTCATCAAGTGATTTTTCCACAGTTTTCTGCTTCTTTTCTTGTAAAACTTTCTTATGTGCTGTGAAATAATTAAAGAAAAAGCAAATTACTAAATAAAATGTTTTTACTTTTGGAAGGATAAGAGATCTGCTCTCAATGTTTAGTGGACATAAAAATGAAATTATCAAGTAATTAAGCAAGAGTAAAAAATAAAGGGTCACACTAAACTTGAACTAAAAAAAAACAACAACAGATATAGATAGACAGAAAATAAATATTGTCAAGAGGATCATTTGGTTCAGACGGAAATAGTTCACTAGTAATGAGTTTAGTATACCTGAATGAGAAATCACATTAGATATCTAGGTTTCTTCTCCGTAAAGCATTCAAAGTTAAAGTGATATTGGAGAAACATGTTTATTCCAATAAACAATATATATTATTACCAGGAAAGTCTATTTAACAAACATAATTGGTAAAACTACATAATTTACAACCGTTGAAGTAACAGTTTACTTAATGAGTAATTAGCTTGCTTTGCTGTGAGAATATTTTTCTGTTTCAGTCAAACAATAACATTCAACTATCTATAAGCTTTTATAAACCCAGCATTCAACATGTCTGAGACTTAATAGGTTGGGACAGAAGAGCAAGATTCTTGGTTTGTAGTTCTTCCTTATCAAGAGTAAAATATAAAAATATGTTAAAACACTTAAGAAAATTTAAATGTGGTCACAAAACGTGTTTAAATTTATTAGAAAGTTTATGTCATCTGACATGCCAAACGGACATAAAGGCTCTTATATTTTCAATAATCTTAATTTTTTTTTAAATCTCAATATTTGACATATATTCCTTACCAACCATGCCCAAATGTCCTAGTTCCAACTGTAACCAGACAGTTGCATTAATAACAGTCCTGAGGTGTGGAAGGGCACAAAGGTAATAAAAAAAAAAGGAAGAAGAGTTCCAAAAGTTTGTATGTAAGAGAAAGAGGTTTCTCATTCCAATTTAGGAATAAGATAAGGGGTCTGAGAATCCTGAGCATCAAGTAAGAGTATGTCCAAGCTCTTAACTTAAATAAAGTAGCAGAAGAATATTTATATTCAATGAAAAGATGAGAGTTTAAATAAAGATCACTAGTAGTTAATCCTGATACTATAAAGAAATCATCATGGTTGTGATAATAAAACATTGTTTAACGAAAATCTGTGTTTTAGTTAAATACTTAGATGAATTCACAGAGCAATTTTTGTGGAGGTGGTAAAAAAAGTGAAAAATCAATGACAAAGAGACAATTGGGGCAGCTGACTTTAATGTAAAAGAACTGTAACATATCAAGCATACCACTAACCATAAGAATGGGTAATCTGGATTGATTCCTTTCTGCTTAATGGTAAACAACCTAGCTCAATTTGAGTAGGGTTTCAAGTGATGTGCATGCCCCACTAGATGGATTCTATTGCGCTGTAGTTCTGTTTTCTTCAAAGTGCCAGGTTGAATACCAAAAAGGAAGAATTGTTTTCTTTCAAGACAATGCAAAAATGATTCTATTACCCAAACTATGGACCGTGTGCAGGATCCATACCGCAGAAATATGGTAAAATTTTAAAATCAATCAGGCACGAGGTTACTACATTTATTGCATGAATTGGTTCTCTTAGAGAGCTTATTTCACAATTGAAGAATCAATTACAGAACAAAAACACAAGTGATGCAGTCCACGGAACTTATTGGAGGTCTCAATAATGAACATTCTACTATACTAAAAACATACTAATATAAGATGGAAAAGAAAATTATATAACTACCCCTTCTCCAAAAAAAATAATAGAAAGTTAAGAGCAAAATATTCTAGATTTTAGAGACCTGATGAAAAAATTTAGAACAGCAATGGTAGCACTGTACAAATGTCATCCCATCTTATCCACTGGGCCAATATTCCTAGGTTCACAGTATAAATTGTGAGAATAGCCAAGGATTTCCAACATGTTTTTAGTATTATCTGCCTCGATTTAGATTGTCGTTTACTACTTTGATAAACTCTCTATAGGTCCTCTTCAATTAAAATTGGGATCTTCATTAGCATAGTACATCATACTAAATGGTAGCTTTTGAATCCTACCCACTCTTAAAGGTTTAAAAACGTGTCCTTTTCAGTAGAGGTCAGAGACTTACTGAACGGTTCAGTCACTTCAGAATACACTCAGCCATTCTCCAGATTCCATTTATGGTGTGACCATGAGATCTTGTGCTACCAATAAAGGTGGAGTGAAATTTGTACAGTAGTATCAAATTGGAAATTCCCTACATTAAAAAAAAAAAAAAGATGAAATGTTCAACACTTAATTACTTCTGATAAAACGGTGGTAAAATATTTAATGAAACACAAAATTTAGAATCTTTTTTAGATTAACCTACAGCATTTACTCATATCTAACAATTAAATTTGAAGGTATAGATGAAATGATATATTGAATATTGATATTTCTAAACTCATTCTTTTCAGCTTTAAACATAATGTGATAAAAAAATTTAATGTGACTAGTAAATCCATGTAAATAACTCGTCTGCTATGAAGAAAGGCCTATAAAATAAGTAAATGCTAGTATTTATTAGTTTCATTGTGAAATAATCAATAAGCTGATATTGTCTTTGTTAGATAATTTTCTTTAGTTCACAAACCTTTTTTGAAAACAATATTAATATGACATTATTTAATTTTTGGCTAAATATAAAGATGAATATCATCAAATCAATGAATTTGAGGAATTGCTTGAGGAACGAGATGTATTAAAATTAAGTGTTAATTCTTTGCAGTCAGTGTATCGGTTCAACTTTATAGGATATGGAAAATAAGAAGTTATGTACAACTTAAAATTATAATCAGGGTCTTCACACCATGAAATATTATTTAGTTCGTGTCACTTTGTATGACTTCAACAATCATGGAGTGCTCATGTACATCAAGTTTATTATCACCTTAATTCCATAAACAGAAATGAAATGTTTAGAGTAACTTGACATCAAAAATGGAACAGGGAAATTTCATATAATATTAACATTTCAAACATTAATTTTTAAATGCTTATTTGTTATACTAAGAAGTGAAGGTAATCTTAATAAATGAAAGCTTAATAATTTTTTTTGATGATGTGGTTTGCTGACACAAAAAAATGACTTTATATTTATATTCACTCATTAATTAGGTAGTTTCTTTAATTATTCATTAAACAATTTGTTGGGTTATATTTTATGCAATGATGGATTCATATCAACAAGTGGTTTCTAAGACTAAGTAAAAGCAATGAACAAGAAAATGATTAGGTAGAAATAATAATACACTAACCTTCCAGAGCATCTTTCAGAGGTTCAACGAAAAATTCAAAATCTGTTTCAGACAAAGCTTTAAAAACATCATTAGCCGATATGGTTTTTCTATTAGCCTGAGTCGCAAGGTTATTAGAAGTAGAAGTTAGATACAAAACAAAAACTGAGGCTGCTCTAGCCACAGCAACTCTAGCCTCTTTAGAAACATTTACTCCATCTGGTAAGCACTCTTTAATAATTCTTGTTACAACCGAAGCTGGTAAGTTTAAGTCTTCAACACGTTCAGCCATTTTTTATGCACTTTAAAGAAAGAAAAAAAACAGATGACAAATCAGCAAGTACAACAACAATCTACTAACTCTGTGGCGGGAATGTATCAGCTGATCATAACGCTCCTAGCGCTACCGTTTGTTCATACTGGAAACTAAATAATCGACGTCAAGTTGTTAAACATGGCGGAGTGATAGGGGTATGTTTCATGTTAGTGTGTGATTTCGCCGTTTTTTACACTACTTTAACGAATAATATCCATGTATTTTACTTTTTGGAAGACAACAGATAGGCTTTCAATGTTTGGTGTATTTAAATATGTAATTATCAAACGATCAAGTGCATAAAATGTCCTCAGTTGGGCACAGCCGACAACTGGTTGGTCTGTAGCCGGACTGGGGAATGGTGTTATTCCTCAGAAGATGGGAGCCCAACAAGCAAAAGAGCGCGGTCTGAACCCAGGATCACTTACTGTCCGATCAACGAGACACAAACCAAGAGTGTCAAAGGATGGCAGACAACAAGGATCCAACATTTTCACAGAACATAGCGGTGAGTCACTTTCACCCTAAACATGAAAGTATTTGCTTATTTCCAGTTTCTTTTATCTCATTTTACATTCTCTAATCCGTTTTATTATATTTGATGACACACTTGTGGTAAATAACTACATCTAGTATGAGAATTTATAACATTCAACTGTCATGATTTATAGCAGATCAATTTGTTTTCTGTACTGAATAAAAAAATGTTGGATTTTTATTTGTTTTTTTTTTCGTATTGTAACCAAAACATTTATTTGAAAAAGGAAGCCTGTTTAGTTACTGTATTAACGCCTGACGTTCATACAGTATGATGTTTCTTAATATAATTTTGTATTTGATAAAATTAGATAATATGTTGATTTGATTTTGTATTAAAAAGTTTATTAACAAGTTTTTGTTGATCAGTATTAAGCGTAAATTGTTGACGTTTACGTAAGGTTATTGACAAACTTTACTGGTTGCTCTTGGTTGGAAAATTCTGGAAATAGTTGAAGGGGGCGCACTGTTCGCCGGCATGAATGAGGGGTCCTTCCATGTCCCCTTCCCCTTTAACCTTACACATGGCGTACAGCTTGCTAACTTATTTTATGTCTGGCAAGTTACCTAAGCCTGCCTATCTTATCAGAACATATTTTTGTTTTATTTGAAATGATTTTCACATACATGTGTTACATTAATAAATCTATTTGTCTTTAACTTTACAGTGAATTTAACTATCGTATTTTCTGTATTTTTTCTTTATGTAATTTCATGAAGTTTATTTTAATGTTAAAACTGCCGACATGTTATTTGATCATACTCAATGAAATTAATCTATGTGGATATTTGAATTAAATTTAAAACTGTGAATTGATTATAATTATACTTTAACATTCTTTAAGAGTTGTATTAAGAACATGTAAAATACATCATTTAAAACAAGAGTTGTGTTATTGTTTGTAGAGATTCAAACATTGTTCTGTCAGTCTGTAAAGCTCAAGAAAATGAGTTTTTCTTTCTTTGGGATAGATATCAGTAAATTAATCTACCAGGATCTACAGTGCACATCTTAATGTAGAGTTTTTAAGAGAAAACAAATATACTTTTATTAATTCCTCATTGATGTATTATTAATCTATAATATTAAAAATTAATAAAATATATGTACAATTTTTAAGAATTTTTCTTTTGTTGGGTGAGCAAGTTAAGTAGGTTGCACCTCTGTCTTAATAATCTTAAGATTTGGCCAATTACACTATTGAACAGAAAAATCACCCTCTTTTAATATATATGATATAATAATTTATAATTTGATAAAAATTTCCCTTATAATTTAAATGAATGAATGATTCCAACCTGAATCTGCTTTGTAATTTTCTTAATAAACCTTAGATTTCATGAAGATATTTTGTAAATTATATATAAATCATATTTATAACCAGGAAGATAGTCACTCCATACTTGGAAATATGGAGGAAATATGCAATCAATTTATTGCTGTAGTTACTATTCGATCTCTTAGTGATCATCAGTAACATTTTCTATTTAATGAATTTATAACTGTATCAAGAAAAGTCATCCCGGAGAATAGATTTAGTTAGAAAAAAAAAAAAAAAAGATTTCTTCGACTCTGCTTTAAAAATAATTAGGATAAATGCTTCTTGGTAATCTATAACAGGGGCTGAGAAAACTAGTCAAAGCTCATTGAAATTATCGTTACATGGCGGACAAAAGCACCAAATTTGGTACAACAGTACTTTAGGCTATACCGATAAATCTTAGCCAAGGGCGCTCTGAATTTTCTAAAAAATTGTATGTATGGCACCAAACACCAAAACCACCAAATTTCACTTTTTCACAAATCCATTGTACTATCACTTGTGAATTACAGATTTCAGCTAAGTACACTGAAATACAAAGTACTGAAGATAATACTTAGCTCATTTACATTACAGTTATTAGGTCTTTTGGACGAACAGATTTAAGACTTATTTATGGCTCCAAAACAACACGGAGCACAATTCCTCCCGTATCCAATCCAGAAATCCTTCGAAAAACCTCGAGGCGTAATTATTTATATTGACCTTAATTAGTATTAAGTATTGTAGATGACACTTAGTATTTAGTATACAAGATAACTAAGTGCATTTATTTAAAGTTAGTCTAACTACTTCATAAAATATATTATGCTATTTATTATACAAGCCAAAGTGTTATTCATTATAAATGTTGCGTATGGGATTTTATTAAGTGGATTGCACGAAATATTTTTAGTATGCTATATTTGTAATCAATCACGAAAAAAGAAAGGTTCCCCCTCCCCTTTCTCAAAATTTGAAATTTTAGGTTTCATCATACATCCGAAAATCTACACTACCTATTTATAATAAGGTAGTATAGATCTCTTTACGAGCGATGGATTTTGTTGAATGATTTAGCTAAGGAAAGTTAGTTTCATGGGGATGTGACCAATGTCAATTTGAAAACTTAAAACTTTCACTACAACAATGTAAGTCCTTGAAAAAAATAGGGAAGTAGTATAGCTAGAATGGTTTCAAAAGTCGATGGATTGAGATAAGGTAGATAGTGTTCTTAAAATTTCGACTTGAAGACGCTTCAATATGGTTCCTTTATTAAGCTTGACCAAGTACAATAATGGATTAGTATAATTTCAGGGATAGCTGCCTTAATGCTTAACTATTAAACTGGAGGGATATTTTCCAATGGGCAACCTGATCACTTATTAAGTAAAGGTTTACTTGAACAGTCATGGAAAAACTGCAACTCGTGTGTTGAAGAGATTATCTTTATTTAATTTTATATTGTATATGGGGGACAATACTACTTCGAAATCTTCTCTACTTCTTTTTTTCTAAACTAGATCTTTTTTTACTTGAGTTGAGAAAATTATTATTACATTAGAAGCATTGGTTTTTACAGCTGCACTTTTCTGTACATTTGTTTAACATTTTTTCGAATTAACTCGTTACAAAATCTGAGTAAGCTTTTGTGCCCACGAAAGGCTAAATCCCCACTTTTGTTTCAAACTCACAAGAAAATCCTTAAGTGTAAAGTAGGGGTCTCCAAACTTTTCGGCCTGCAGGCCAAATTGAAACCTCTACTATGTACCGCGGGACATGACTGATGAAAAAAAATGTTTGTTCTATTAATGACACTTATGTTGTGAAATGAGCTTTCAGATAAAGAAAAAAAATCCATGCAATAAATGTTATAATAAGTCTTGTGTGAGTAATTTGCTAAATTTCGCATTTTTAAAATAATTTTTAAAGTTTTACCACGTAGCAAATAAACTTTCGCGAGATAGTCAGGAAGTCCAGCCCACCAGCACCTTCGCCCGGAACTTATTGAAAGTCTTAGTTTGGATCTCAATGTGGCCCGCGGGCCAAAAATTTGGTGACTTCCGTTCTAGAATAATTGGTTAAAAACAACAAGCGCCGCCGGTCCATTGTCGAGAAACGCGGTCTGGACGTTTTGTTTTTTGGCATAAACTATCTAAAAAAATTAAATGAGGAACACATTATTGAATGACCCATACATTCACTTGAAAAAAAAAACTAAATGGTTTTGTTTTTAAAGAATACTAGGAAGTTTGACAATTATGAGAGAAACCTAAAGAAAAAAATGATCGAGCATAGAGTTTAAATTTATCGTTAAAGAAACTAATTTAATTAAGTTGTCCTTCTCGATAGTGAATGAGAACGTTCGGGATGAAGGAAGGAAGGTATGCGATTCAGCCTTGTGGAGGTGGTTTCTCACGCTTCGGTTCGCTTCTCGCCACAGAGCTAGGTTTACATCTGGCACCAAACAAGCTTCATAATATGTGTTCGCGATTCCAAACTTTTCTGGTAATTAACTAAATGGGCTGTATGGTTATATTTGGAAATATTGCAAAGCTGTTATGTTAGTTTTGTGAAATAAACAATTTTTGTATTATTTAATATTTTTATTAGTTTAAAGAAAACTAAAATAATCTTACGACTATATATACTAAAATTTGTATGTTTATATCCATAAAATGAATTTGTATGCCTATCTCTCCCTTATCCCAATGTCGTTAGCGCATAAACCTCGCTCCTCCATTTTCTAAACTGTTTTATTGCTTTTCTCTACTTAAAAACATTAGAAATAAAAGCACTGTAGACCATACACAATTACATTTGCTACGGTTGGTTTCATGTTTTCTGTTTTTCTCCTGGTTTGAAATTTTTTAATCTGAAAATTCATAACATCTTCGAAATATGACCCCCTCAAAAATTCAAAATCCCATCAAAATATGGTCCCCTTAAAATTTTGTATGGCGCAACTTGCCCATTCTGTGCACCCCTTTCTGTTCGTACGAACCGTAAGGTTGTGGTTTCTTCAATTGTTTAAGTTTTTTTGTCGAGTGGAGGTGATGTGTGCTAGCTTAATGACCAGCTCTAGCTTTAAATCTCTTACAGGTCAGTGAGATTATGTTTTATCACTCAAAGAGAGTGTCATTAGCCGTAGTCATTCTGATGTCCAACTTTTGAAGTATAATAATCGTATTAAGGAAAATACGTTTACGCATACGTATGTCAGAAAAAGAATAAGATGGGAATGGAAAAAATTGGTAAAGCATAATTTTTTCACCAATTTCCAACTTACTCCTTAACGTTTGCAATTTAACACTGTGTTTTGTAAATTTACTGGTTCTTAGAGGTAATTAAAATTTTTATATACTTCCCAGGAAATGAGTCATATTAATAACTGTTTTATAAACTAAAATAATATATACCTAATCTAAACTATATATAATGAATAGCTACCGGGTTGTTTACTAAAACTCATATATCACTAATTAAAACATTAATTTTTTTTCCTGTGTTTTGTGCAGAAGTTGGACTATAAATATAGGAAATTTTAATATTGAATGAATTATTCTCTATGGACAAAGAAAGTAGACGGATGAACAGAATATTTCAAGATGCTGCTCAATGGGGGTAAATTGAAGTTTGGGTGATATTAAGTGGACGATGTAGGTTTATT